ACATCTAGGCATAGATAAAACATACCTCAAAATAGTAAGAGCCATCTATGAGAAACCCACAGCCAGCATACTGCGAAACAGAAAGAAATTAGAACCATTTCCCCTTAAAGCTGATACAAGGCAAGGATGCCCACACTCAACCCTCCTTTTTAACGTAGTTTTGGAAGCCCTAGCTAGAACAATCAGACAAGATAAGGAGATCAGGGGTATCAAAATAGGAAAAGAGGAAGTCAAATTATCCCTCTTTGCAGAGGACATGATTCTATACCTCGAAAACCCAAGAGAAGCTGTCAAAAACCTCCTTGCACTAATAAAGGACTTTGGCAAAGTCTCAGGGCATAAAATAAATGTGCAAAAGACAGTCGCATTTCTATACACCAACAATAAACAAACAGAAACCCAAATAAAAAGCACAATTCCATTCACAATTCACACACACACACACACACACACACACACACACACACACACACACATATCAAATACCTTGGCATCTTCCTAACCAGAAATGTGAAAGAACTTTGCAACGAAAACTACAAAACACTGCTCAAAAAAATTAAAGATGATGCAAACAAATGGAAAAATATTCCATGCTCATGAATTGGAAGAATCAACATTGTTAAGATGTCCATCCTATCCAAGGCAATCTACAAATTTAACACAATACCCATTAAATCACCAGCAGCATTCTTCTCAAACCTGGAAACGACAATACAGGAATTCAAGTGGAAACATAAACAAAAACAATCCTCAGCAAAATAAAAACAAAAACGAACAAACAAAAAGAAAACACCTGTACACGTATGTTTATCACAGCGTTGTTCACAATAGCAAGAACCTGGAAACAACCATGCTGCCCATCAAAAGACGACTGGATTAAAAAAAATGTGGTACATATACACGATGGAATACTACGCAGCCATAAAAAAGAACAAAATCATGAATTTCGCAGCAACCTGGATGGAACTAGAGTCTATAATACTGAGTGACCTCTCACAGAAACAAAGATCCGAGTATCACATGTTTTCACTCATATAATGGACCTTGAACATCCAATGTAATACTATAAGAAAATGACTGACGGTACTGGGAAACTATGGGAGGGGAGGGGGATGGGATTAACAGTCACAAATATCTGTCTGGGGATGGGGAAACGCCTCTTATCAACAGGGTGCCTGAATGAAACATAATTGTACACCTAACCCTTAACTGTACCCCACAAAATCATAATAAAAAATATTGATAAAAAAAAAAAGAAAAGAAAACAAAGCGGGAGGTATCACACTCCCAGAATTTAAACTTTATTATAAAGCTACAATAGTCAAACCAGCCTGGTATTGGTACAAGAACAGGTATATAGACCAATGGCAAAGGATAGAGAATCCAGAAGCAAAACCTCAATTTCTCAACAAAATCATCTTCAACAAAGCCTCCACCACAAACCACCGGGGAGAGGAGAACCTATTCAGGAAATGGTGCTGGGAAAACTGGCTGACCACATGTAGAAGATTAAAGCAAGACCCCAAAATATCACCATACACCAAAATCAACTCTAAATGAATCAAAGACCTAAATGTAAAACCTCAAACTGTCACAACCTTAAAAAAATGCAGGAGACACCCTTATGGAAATTGGAACTGGCAATCAGTTCCTGATTAAAACCCCAAGTACCCTTGCTATAAGAGATAAGATAGACAAGTGGAACCTCATCAAACTGATAAGTTTCTGCACAGCCAAAGAAATTATCAAGAGAGCAGGGAGACAGCCCACAGACTGGGAAAAAAATATTTGCCAATTGTATGTCTGACAAAGGCCTAACATCTAGGATCTACAAGGAACTCAAACATGCCGAAAAGAAAAATTCAAATAACCCCATTACACGGTGGGCAAAAGATATGAATAGACACCTCTCAAAAGAAGATATATGAGGAGCCAACAGATACATGAAAAAATTCTCAGCCTCACTAGTTATCAGAGAAATGAAAATTAAAGCTACCTAACTCCAGTCAGGATAGTTATCATCAATAGCTCAAAAAGCAACAAATACTGGAGAGGAAGTGGCGAAAAGGGAACACTTCTACACTGTTGGTGGGAGTGTAAACTAGTACAGCCTCTGTGGAAAACAGTGTGGTGATTCCTAAAAGTTCTAAAACTCGACCTTCCCTATGACCCTGCAATCCCCCTACTGGGAATATACCTGGAAGAACTCAAATCACTCTATAAAAAAGATACCTGCTTACATATATTTACTGCAGCATTGTTCATAGTAGCAAGAACATGGAACCAACCATATTGCCCATCAAAAGAGAACTGAATTTAAAAAACATGATATATATACATGATGGAATATTATGCAGCCATAAAGAAGGATAGAATCATGAACTTCACAGCAACCTGGATGGACTTAGAGCCTATAAATCTGAGTGATCTTTCACAGAAACAAAGAACTGAGTATCACGTGTTCTCAGTGCAGACCTTAAACCACTCATAAGCCGACCTTGAACAATTATCGTAATACTATAAGAAAAGGATTGGCAGTTGCAAGAAACTGCTTGGAGTTGGGGGCGCGGGGAGGCAGGGTTGGCAGCAGTGGGAATCTGCTGAGGGAGGGGGACACATCTCATCACCTAGGGTACCTGCATAGTGAGCATTTGTATACCTAACCCTAAATGGTACCCCATATCTTTAAAATAAAAAAATTAAAAGAGAGAGAGAAAGAAAGATTAAATGATGAAACTCCATTAATCCTCACCTAAAATGAAAGACCAGGTAGTTTCATATAATAGCAAACACCACAAAGGAAATAAAAAGATGTTTAGAGGATGATGGAGGGAGCTCTTTTAAATAAGGGGACGAAACTAAGGATAATTGTATCTGAGCTGAGTCTTAAACAATTTGAGACAGACAGGTAATGATGGATGATTATTCCAGTCAGAAAACTGCAAGTACAAAGGGCTTGGTTAAATGAATAGACAATTATTGAGCAAGCTGATTTTATCAAATAAAGTAAGACAATATCTTTTCAACTTCAACGGTTTGAGAATGACGGAAACAACAAAGCAAATATTGTATTAACTAATTCTTTGCTAAATGTTCACTTCTTTTTGTAAATTTTTATGCTTCCCAAAAATGCTGATTTGTTAGATTCATAAATGTGTGGAGATAGAAGTGAAAATAGCACTTAATGTCCAGTATGCTCCTTTTGGGATCATTCTGTTATAAAAGCACCTGGTTTAGGGATTAACAAATAAGGTTTTTAGAAGACATCATGGAAAAATACCCTCATGACCTCTAATTTATGAAAAAAATTCTAAAACATGACATGATAAGTGCTAACCATAAAGGAAAATACTGATAAAGTTGAGTCTGTTAAAATGACACCACTAAGAAAGCAAAAAAGCAAGCCACAGAGTGGAATAAGTTATTTTCAGCATGCATAAACAATAAAGCGCATATCCAATGAAAGTCAAAAAAGAAAACAGACACTCCCCTCAAAATAAGCACCATCCATATAAAATATGAAAAATAAATTGTAAATAAACAGGCAAAAATGTGCTCAACTTCACCAAGGATGAAAGGACTGCAAATTAAAAGGACAGTGAGATATTGTGAACACCCACTAAACAGGTAAAAACTAAAAATGCCAGCAATACACATGTTGGTGAGGATGAGGCAGAAGAGAAACTTCCATATACTCTGTCAAGTAAAAGGTGGTAATCACTGAGGAGTAATTAGTAAGGGAGTCATAGACTTTGGGATTTGGGTGATGTCCGCTCCCTGGATTTGAGAGGTAGTTATATGGGTGCTTACTTTGTAGCAAGTCATTATATAGTCCATAATTTTTGAAAGTTTAAAAACTGATACAATTCTGTGTATATTGAAGAATTCTCAAGCTACTTGCTGTAAAATGAAAAAAATAGGGTGTGGGAAAGCAAGTAAAATTTTCTACCATTTATGTTGAAAAAAGGAATGAAAGGAAGCAAGGAGAAAGTGAGACCATGAGACAGAGAGAGAGGAAGAAAGAAAGAGAGGGAGAGAAAGAAAGAAAAGAAGAAAAGAATGAGAAAGACATAAATAATAAGCTTGTAGAAGAATAGGGCAACCCATACAAGAATACAATTGTCCCTAGACAGAAGAAATAAGTGGCCAAGGGTCAGGGTTAGGAGAAGAATTGCTATTTACTGTACACCCTTTATGTCTTTTGAATTTCATGTCATGTGAATGTATTGCCTTTTCAAAATAAATAAAATACCTAACCATACTTATCCACAAGAGGTCACTATAGCCAGGGAAAAAACATTCTGAATTCTAATACTGTCTGTAGAAGGTGAAGAAGCATCTTCATTTATGCTATTTTATATTATACCACATCATATTCCAGAAAAATGCAATTCACAAATATGCACAAAAACCAAGTGATAAATATTTAAGTGGGGGTGAAAAAAGACAGAAAATGAATTGATTACTATGAAGCCAGGAATGGGTTTACAGAAGCACAGTGTTAACCATCTTCCTTCGTGGTAATGCACAAAAGCTAGATTCTAAATTTTCTAGTATCTAGGCTTTTTTTAAAAAAAGGAAGTATGGTCAGGCAAACAACTCAAAATCTTCTTCAGAATATTTAGACCTTACAAAATATTTTCCCTGGTAGAGTCTGTTAAATAAACTCTACCCGGACACTTTAGATGAATTTCCTAATTTCATTTTAGTAACAGGAATAGTCTATGGATGAATTACGAAACCATGTCATCTTGCCTTCTAGGAGAAGTATAAGATGTTTGAGGACTTTAGACGATGAAGGGAGTTTTCATTCATGGTTAATCGTGAATGAAAATGAAACTAAGAATACATGCTGTAGAAAAAAGAAGAAGAAAGCCCTTAAGATTGCTTTAAAAATTTCGTGTCTTACACATGAGAGAGTGACTGTCTTGAACTGGATGAGTTTTTAAAAATTTGGTTGTTGTAATTAATTCCACTTTTTCTTAAAGCAATTTGATCATACTTTGGCTTACTAATGGGTTAAATGCTGTCAAGGGCAATTAGCCCTGACTAAACTTTGCTCCTGACTCACAAATGCACTGGGTTTTGGGCAGTATACAAACTGAGAGAAATCGGTGTGTAGGAGAGACAGTTCTCTCACGACAGAAGCAACAGCAATTTGAAAAATACTTCTTCAGTTATGGACTCATCTGACATTCAAAGGAAAAAAGTAGCTGTCATTGGTGGTGGCTTGGTAAGAATCTTTTTGGATATATTATTACTGTTAGTGGTATGCTAATCATTTCATGACTCAATGATTATTATTCATCACTTGAACAGATTGCTAATTTTCTTGTGAAGACTTTTGTGATATTTAAAAACACCTATTTTAAGTACAGTATTAGTTCTAATTCGTTATTTTTCAGGCAAGGCATTTTATATTCATTAAATACAAGAGTGTTTCTTTGTCATTTTGGTTTAGCACTTCTCCAAAACTAAAAATAAAGCAAATTGAACTTGATTTAAAAAATATTTTTAACAACATGTCAAGCATGAACTTGATTTTTATCTCCAAATTGGCTATGTTCTTAAGAATAAATATTAGTCTTAATATTCATTTTAATAAAAGACATTTGCCCCATTTAGTTTAATAACTCAGTTAACGCTGTCTAATGAGAATAAAAGGGTCAAGAAACAAAGCTAAAATAAAATGAACACATTAAATGTTCACTAAGTATTTGAGTAATTGAGAATAATATTTACGTGGTTGCCTTACTTATTTGGCTTTACTATTGGAGCACAGAAGACGGTGGAGTGAGGCTGTCACCCGGGACTGAGTACCACACCTAGCAAGATGGAAGGAGGGATTAGTCCTCTGCTTCCCGAGTTATGGCACCAGGGGAAGTTCTGTTTAACTTGGGTTTGCCTCAAGGCAGCAGCATTTCCCCCCCTCTCAGCAGAATTCCTGTTTCAGAGTAAAAAACATTCCAATTAGTTAAGGTTAAATCATTTTACTTTCACCTTTGGTCAAATCATTTGCGGGTTTTTAACTCGCAGGCATTCATTTATTCATTCATTTACTCAACAACCATTTCTTGAGGGCCTAATACTGTTCTAGGCTTATATAGATTGGTATATTTTACGCCACACATGTATTTCTATAGTATATGCCAACTTTGTCTTTTGCCTGCTTTCCTTATTTTCTTTTCCCCAGAACGCTATGACAGTTCCTTTAACATTTCTAATTCTACATTTCAAAATGCCAAGGAAAGCTATCACATGCTGTGTAGGTCACTAGACAGAAAGTACGTTGTCATTGCTTCAAACTGGGCTTTTGACCAATTCTTTCCTGTCAAAAGGTTTCATAAAATGGGAATCAATGCATTTGACAAAATCTTATTGGGTACTTGATATGTGACAATATTTTAGGTAGTAGGGATACAGGAACGAATGAAGGAAAAAAAACAAGATAATTTCAATGAGGGTTAAGCACTATGAAAAAAATGCCAACAGAATAATGCTGTAGACAGTGTCTTGGGAGGTACCTGTTTAGAGTGTGTTTAGGGACAGCCTCTGAGGAGAGGACAGGTGGTAACCAGAGACCTGAATAATGAGATGAAACCAACTGTGTGAAGATCTTGGGAAAGGGCAGTCCTGGCAGAGGAAACAGCAAAAAGAGAATCTCTGGGGCAAAAATCAGCAGCACAAGTTCAACAAGCAGAAAGAAAAGCAGGAGCAGAGAGAGGCCAGAAAAGAGTATCCGATGAGGATGAGAAGCTGGCATAGTTGGATCTTGTAGAGTAGCTGATGAGGCAGGAGAAGCTGACATAACCAGATCTTATAGGATCTCGGTCAGGCAAAAAGATCAAATTTTATTTGAAGGACAATGGGAAACCATTTGGAGGATTTTAGGCAGGAAAGTAAGCTTTCCTCAAACTATTTTTTTTTTTTGAGTTGGATTCTCACTCTGTCGCCCAGACTAGAGTGCAGTGGCCGCTCTGGGTCACCACAGCCTCGATCTGCTGGGCTCCGGCGATCCTTCCGCCTCAGCCTTCCGAGTAGCTGGAACTACAGGTGTGCGCTACCACACCCGGTTCATTTTTTATTTATTGTAGAGATGAGGTCTCACCAAGTTGCCCAGGCGGGTCTCGAACCTGCGGGCTCAGGCGATCCACTCACTTCAGCCTCTCAAAGGTGCAGGATTACAGGCTGAGCCACTGAGCCCGGCTTTCCTCAAACTATTATGTGGAGAATGACTAGGAAAATTGCAAAATAAAATAGATAAGTTAGGAGACTGTTAAGTTAATCTAGGACTTGGACTAAAGTGGCAGCGATGATGTCTCTTAAAATGAGTCTTAGAAATCCAAGAAGAAAATAACAAATACACAATTGGATATATGATTTTGGAAGGCATGAAAATAAAAATGTGGTCATCATCCATGGATTTATCCTTAAATAACATTTGAACTCTTCATCATGTAATCACTTCATATAAGTGCTGAGAAATAGAAGAAATAAATTACTACACATGTATTACAAAGCAACTAAAATTCCTCTGAAAAAAAATTATGTCCTATTTCTCAAGTCCATGCCTAGGCATCATGTTTGATTCCTTTTTTATTTTTTTTGCAAGCCTCTGTTCCTTTTCCAGTCTCCCAGTAAGTGTTGGTGGCTCTATATGCAAGGAGCCACCATATTCTGGCCATTGCTATCATTCTAGTTTAAGCCATAAGCATCCTTCCTTCATATTCCTATAACAGACTCCTAAATTGTCTCCCAGCTTGGAAAGACTCCTATCCGCTAAAGTCTGTTCTCCACACCACAATCAGAATAATCTTTAAAACCACAGGCTTATCATTATCACTCTCAACTTAAAACCTTCCAGTAATCTCTCATTACAAATAAAGTCTAAACTGTTTTTCTGCCCTTTATGAACTGAGCCTATCTCTACCTTTCTGGTATTACTCCCTTTACCCATTTTATGTTTTTTATATTATCTATCAGTATTTGAAATAACACACTTTTCTAATCTGTTTATTAAATAGCTACTCCAACTAGGATATAGACTCTTATTTAACAATGTATTTCAGTGACTGAAATCATGCCTAACGTTATGCATTTGGTGGATGAATGAATTAAAAGAAATAACAAAACTTAAGGATATAGAGATAAAAAAATTTCATAACAGATACAAATATGAATTTTGAGGAATTATAAAAAAGCATTGATTAAATAGAGCAATTTAGAAAAAGTTAAATCTATTACATAGGATAAAATTCTATTTTTGCCTATATTATTCTTTTTCTACCCTTCCCATCCTCTCCTCTCCATGAGCCATATCCCAGCACCTTCACCTTATACTGTCTAACACATTAAAGACTCTCCCCTGGCCTCTAGGGGAAAAAAAAGTACAAGAGTTAAGAACCTTTACTCAGGAGTTCAATGAATAGGGTGAACTTCCTTCAATACTTATCAGTGGTAGCCGACCATGTCTAGTAATCTTGCCAAGTAAAAAGTTACTCTGAGAATTATCCCTTGCTCTGCTGTAACAATCATCTGTTTCTGGATTGAAACAGTTGATTTCCTTTTTTCTGAAGATATGTCAAGTCAAAGAGATCAGAAGGAATCAATAGATCTGCAAAAAATATATATACGATAAAATAAATACAAAACTTACAGAGAAACTAAAGGAGAAAGAACTCAAACATGATGATAAACGGGGGACACTGAATATTGAAGAAAAGAATGCAAACAGTTGTTAAAATGATATTTTGAGGATGTTGATATAACTATTTTATAAATTACTGTATTGACTTAGATATTTTCCTGCTTGGGTGAATAACTGCTCCCCCATCCCTTCCCTGCCAAGGGAATAACTTCCGGGTACTTCTAGAAGGTAATTCCAGAAGGATCAATCTGTCAACAAGGCCTCTTTCCTCTTTAAATGCCCACAGGGCTTTGTTTACCTTTATCACATGCTGCACTCTATCCGAGTTTTGATATATGTAGTTTATTCCTCATGGAAGGCTTTTCACATCCTGGGTCTAAAGATTATCTTACCTTTGGGTCCTGCTCTTATCTCTTTTATAAAGGGTATCCCAGTTCCTTATACTGCCAAACATACCACAATATTTTCTGTGCATGAGTTTGATTTCAGAACAAAGTGGAGGGTTGATTGTTTTTCACAAGTTATGGGAAAGTTTTTTTAAAAACAGTGTTTTTATCAAAATGGTGTCGTAAGGAGCGTAATTCTTTCAAGGATTAACTTGAAAAAAGATTTTGAAAATTCTTTTCAGAAAAACTTTTCAGGCTGGAAGGAGTTCTACAGGTGTAGCTTTCCAATCCAAACAAGTCAGTTCAGTAAAAACTTGCCTGACAAAAAACTGCCAAACTATAATATCTCATGTTGAGTGATATGTTTTCTTTACGAAGTGGCAAGCCAGAGAAGTAAAACAAACAAATAGGTCATCTAACCTATACAGGCATCCTTAAGCCATGTCTGAATTCAGGGTCCTTGGGATTCAGAAAATACTGCTTCTGATGACTATTTTCAGTGTTTCCAGGTATGATGTACATGGTCAATGACAAAGAGTATGATTTCAGTGACTGCTGCAGCTCCTTGAGCCCTCATTTTTTGACTGAAGTCAAGAGCCTTGGCTAAGAAAACTATTAAGCATTCCAGGCTTAGCTGTCTCCTGCTTGCTGCTGCTGTGTGCATCTACCCTTCTGGCATATATCCTGGAGATGTATTTTTGGGTATCATTGAAGTATTTCTTCTGTCCCTCCTGCTAAAAAGCAATCACACTACAGAGTGTTTTGTGATCTGTTCTTCCTATGTTTGACCCAGAACAAAATCTTCATTAAGAGGTGCTTAGAGTGAGGAGATTATAATCTATTGTTATAATTTATTAAGTTATTGTTATAACTTATTGTTGATAATTGTACCCTGACCCCTGGCAATCAAGTCAAATCAGTGGCCTCTGCGGATGAATTTGCCTTTGAAGCAACTTGATCTTGACTTTATGAGAGTTTGTGCCTTACAGTTATAAATGTTAGATTCTGTTACGGATTAACAGGCTAAAGATGATCTTGATGCCAGATTGTCCCCAAATGATGTTTCTGCCCTGTCTCCTTAGGATGTTTCCGCCTCAGTGCTGACTCTCTGCTTAGTGGGACAGAAACAGTGTTAATTAGTGAGGAGACTGGCTAGGCGCAGTAGAATCTGCAACCAGGTGGAGCCTCAGAAAACCTTAC